CCTACTGATATATTCTACCCTGAGAAGCGAGTTACAGAAAAACATCGGTTGCTTGATTAAACTCATCAGACTTTCATTCCAGAATTGCTCCCTGGGCCGAGACAGGAATCTGGGAAAGGTCAGCCAGGCTTGGAGGACGGGAAGAATCAAAGGGCTGCAGAGAGAAGAGTGGGGTGTACTCACCGCACCTCAGCAAAGAAACTGATGGCAGACCTGGCTGAAGATGCCAGCTTTGCTTAAAATGTGCTTTTGGCATGTTTTGAGGGGGGGATAAAAAAGTAGGCTTCCTGCCTTTAAAAAATAAACCATTTGCCCTATAAAGGAGCGATGTGTATACATTGTAAAAAGGGTAAGAAAGCACAAAGGTTGTAGGTAAGAAATTATGCGCTAGATTCAAGGATGAGTTAGACCCGTGGAGAAACAGTAAGAGGGCTATGGAACAGACAGTGATCGGCTCAGTAAGGCTTCACGCCTGGGGAAACACTCAAATGGGAAAAAAAAAAAGGTCAAGGAAAAATACAGACTGCAAGTATATCTCTTCTGTGCTGACACTTCAAGGGGGAAGAAGAGAAGAGAAAAAATGGGGGCGGGAGAACACGGTTATCTAACTCACACGAGAAAGGCCGGGAACGTTCTAGGTCTGACCGCAATGCTGGGTCAGGGGGCTCACTCCCACTCCCTCCACCACGTGAGGAGAAAACCAATAATTCAGCTTTGAAGCACTCGAGCACAGGCACCGTAAGGCCCGAGGTTTTTGATTTAAATACCCTAAATAAGCTGTTTTGGTTAACCAATCAGAGTTAGGTTAAACAGAGAATTTCGACAGCCGGAGTTTAGTGAGGCTTTTGCTAAACCTAACCTAGATGTCCGATTTTTTAATTGTTTCTAATTTTTCTAAATTATACCACTATTCTCAAGATACTATTGTAAATGCGATTAGCAAGGGGTTTACAGTCAAGCTCATTTCAGTACCTCTCTCTTCAGAAATGATTATATCAAACGCCACACATCCCTACCCAGTTATTCGCTGGGTTACGTACTGAACGTCTGTCCAGCCCACAGCGGGATGGTGTTAGGCCATGGGGCCTCTGGGAGGTGATTAGGTCATGAGGGTGAAAATAAACTTCCATTTTTTCCCAAATAAAAGAGTTAGTTTAACTGAAAACCACAGGCGCCTAACTATAGCCAAGCCACTGTGCCCGGGTTTCCCACACGGCATCCTCGCAGCCTCTCCGACAGGACCATTGTCACCCCCCTCACAGATGAGAAAACCAAGACACGAGGCTGAGTCACTGAGTAAAGGGCACGCGAGGACGATCCGGCAGGGCCGGGACTCAGACTTCATGGCCTGACCCATGTGACATGCTGCCATTTTCACTCAACGGAACGAAATCCCCAACAGTGTGGGCGTGAGACATGCGAGTCTGCTACCTGCGGGTAGGACCTCGAACGCGCGCGGTCCGGAGTCATGTGCTTGATGACGTCAGACAGCACGGTGTTGACCTCGCGT